AAAACTTTTTGTGTGAAAAAAAAAAAAAAAATTTATTCCATAAAAAAAAAAAAAAAAAAAAAAAAAAAAAAAAAAAAAAAACAAACTTGTTAAAATCTGCATTTTTGTATCCATCTATATAAAATAGTGGTTCTGCACTATTTTGGCCATTATGGAAGGACCAAAGAGCCGCTGTTGGCTGTGGAGTTGCAAGTTGCAGATTCCTGCTCAATATGTTGCTTATAAAGCCAGTAAATGTTCTATATTATTGTAGCAGCAACAGAAACATCTGTTGCATTTTAGTCTTCAATACCAGAAATTAAACCTTAAAACATAAAGCACACCAACCCATGCCTACTGATCCCACCGACATTCAGCTGGTTCATCGTCATCGTGTCTACAGTGTAGAAGAGGAGTGATCTGTAATCTGGCAGAGGAAGCGTACGATTTCCAAAAGCCAGACCCAACGCAGGATGTGAGCTGGACTACAACATGCTGTAAACAATTGCTACGGACACTCCCTGAAGAATTTTCTTTTATAGGCAAGTAAATAAACCTTGTGGATAACCACAGAACGCGCACGGTGTGTTCAATCCTCCGTGCGTGTGCACAGAGTGGAACAGAGTCAGCCGAATGTCTTTGGTTCAAACCACTAAAAAACAAGAAAAAAAAAAAAAAGAGCAGACAATTATATTTTTAACTGATGCATAATCTTGGTGAAACCTCAATCATGAGTCGTACCAGAGAGCCAGCAGGCAGCGGACATCGAGTTTAGTTCGGACAACAAAAACAAGTGAGGAGAGAAAATAAAAAAATAAAAAATGCCTTCAATTTCAGTTAAATTACAGCAACATTTGATTATAGTTTTATCGACGGCTGAGAGCGTCCACAGGTGAGCTTACATACAGGCGTGTGTGTGTGGGTGTGTGTAAAGTGTACACAGAAACAGACTTCCGCTGGATTTTTACAACCTGATTCATGACAAATGAACAAATTAAGCAACAGGAGGGCAGCTAATGCTGTAGGTCACATAAAGTATGTACAAAAATATACAGGATATAAAATAAGCCGCTCCGGGTGACCCTACTGAGCTTGGTCTCTGTCTGCAAAGAGTTAAAAAAAATAAAAAAAATGGAAACCTCCACATTTTCTTCTCAAGACAAATAGATTTCAGTTGTACATCTTTTAGCATTCACAATCCTTCAAATGAAATATTAAACGTGAACCAGAGTCCAGTGGAACAAACTCAAAACAGTTGCGTGCATCAACTTTGAAATTGATAGTCAGCTGCAAAATACAAACTTTAGGTCTCCTTTTACTGCTCTGGTTTCGATTTGCACGAGTAATGAGTGAGGAGAAACTCCTAGAACTTAGGCAGCCGTTGCTATTTCTTCTTTTAAAACGAGTTCTCCAAACGCACTCCAGAATAGAGATGCACCCAGCAGCGGGCTGGTGATCTGAACTTAACCAAGTGATCAGTTTGATGTCCGAGTTTCCAACCAGCAGAAAACTTCATGCATAAAAAGCGACCAGGTTGTCGTGACAACACTTCAGTGTGAACGCAGCTGACGAGTGAAGACAACTTGAGTTTTGGTCCCACTTAGGTGATTAAAAATGAATCAGAGGAAGCACAGAGATGCAAGAAGCTAGTCAAGAGAAGACATGTTCAGACACGCCTGTGGTAGAAGAATCATAGGGCTCACAGAAATTTATTTTATACTTTTGAGCTTTTAACCAGGCTGGATTAACGTCGGTGGCCTTTCAGAAATTTTAACTAATGGAAGGATCTAAATACCTAAAGATGCTTAATAATCTATGATATGGAATGATAAGATTGCTTAGAATGTAAACTCCATGATCATTTTGTCTGAAACAGAAAAATCTTGTTTTACATCAACGTTAAATCTGCTTCCTTTATGTCAAAAAGACCAGAAAAAGATATTCTAACCCTACATCTTCTGATATTCCTCTTGAAATCTGAATAGATATTAAACAACACAAGCACCTCAAGCTTTAAAAAAAAAAAATCAGATTGGAAATCAGCCTCTAACTCATGATCACAGCATCTCTACCATGAAGGGCACCGTCTGATTGCTCATCCTCCGATTCTGATGAATCGTTTGTTTTTAAAGTCCAGCATGCAGACAGAGCTCACAGCAAGCTCAGCATGAGCAGCAGAACAAACAGATTCAGTTTTCACCTGCAATACGTCTTTTTTACTTTCGTCAACCTCTGTGAAACAAACTAAAATGAAATGTCAAATTTGACCACATTTTGCCATTTCGCCGCTTATATAAGCACAATTCTGGTTCGTCATTTTGACCAAAGCAGAACAAGATTGGCAGATTAGCGTTATGAATACAAAGAAAAAAACTCTCCAACTCTTCTAAGGAAAGTGTGTTCTTTGAGTCTCACTTCATATTTTTACACATATTACCCAAAAAAAAAAAAAAACAAGCCCTGCCTTTGCTGAAATAAAATGTTAGTCAACTTTCTAAACCAGCAATAAGACTGGTGGTGTTACGATTTTTTTTTTTTTTGAAAGAAGCACATTTAAGACAAGTACCAAAAAATGCAATTAAGCTTTACAATCATAAAAGTTGTACAATCAACATTTTTCAACATATTCCCCATAAAATGTTCCTTCATTATTTTGGAAAGGAGTTTTTTTTTTCATTTTGTTTTGTTTTTACAATGTGCAGATGAAACTTCAAGCAGAGTTTTGATCACTTCTGATGAAAAGCTTCATGATGGTCCAGGACCAGCAGGAGAGAGCGGTAAATATCCTTCACTGAACGTTTTGCTTCTCACAAGCTGAACTTCTTCTAGATAAAAAAAAAAAAAAAAAAAAATGATCTTTCGCCGTTGTCCTTTCAGTCAGATCCTGTTCGGAAATGTGTTCTGTGTCTTTGGATTAATAAAACTTAATTAAAATAACAATAAATCAACGCAAAAGAGAACAAAAGAGGTGTTCTCTTTTGTTTGAGAACACCTTTGCACCCCATACTTGTAAGTATTTATACCTAAGAATTAAATTAAATATTGGAGGCAGCTTGGATTAAAATGTGAATTAGCAAACGCTATCGAATAAAAAGCCGGGGGAAATTTCTCCACGCGAGCCTCGGCAATAAGTTGTGGTCAGACTGGGGGGATCAGTGCTCGGTCCTGGGGCAGCTGGAGCTTTAAAAAAATATGACGTCCTCCTTGTTGAGGTCCTCAGCAGGGAGGCTGTAGGGCGGCGTCGCGCTGAGGCCGTGAACGTTCAGCGGGGCGTTGGCCTGTGCGATTTGGCTGAGGCTGTGCGGCTGCAGGTGGGGCTGGAACGGGAGGGAGTCGGCGCTCTGGGAGTGGAGGTGGTGAACGGAGGGGGGAGGATGGGGCTGCACGCCCTGCATGGGGGGCTTCTGGTTGGAGCCGATGGAGGAGGTGGGCTGCGTGTCTAATCCAGTCTGCTCTGGACTCAGCTGATCTGAAAACACCAGCAGAAAAGAAAGGGTTAATCCAGAAATCATAAACAGCAGTATGCTTGCAATATTCCGAGCTGGTCAGAACCGGTACCAGGGGCAGATTTGGACTATTTTCCCCTCAGTTAAACATAGACATATTTGGTATCCATGGAAACGTCAGAGTCTTGACTAGAAGGTGATAAAACCCATTTGAGTTGAGCAGGAAGCTTCTGAGTTTATTACCAAGAGCTGCAGTATAAACATCAGTGGCTAGGAACCCACATCAAACAGATATTGTATGGAGTTCTGGTAGTGCCAAAAAATAATATATTTTGGTGGTTTACATATTTTATTCAGTAATGTGTGTAAATTTGTAGCAATGTATTTAGTTTTTTATTTGATTCCTAAAGGACACACTGCAAATATACATTTCTTATTGATTTACAATATTAGAATAAAAAAAAATATCAAAAGAGGTAAAAAAATAAGTTTAGTAAGTTGAGTAAATGGAAACACAGGAAACTCCCAGTTTTGTAGATGGTGACAGCCAACGCCAAAGGCGAAACACCAAGGGATTTTTTTTTTTTTTACTAAAACTTCTTTAAATTTGCTTAGTTTAGCGAAGCAACTTCAGTCTTTGCACAGGTAATGTGCAATGACATTTCTAAAAGGTTTATATGCTGTGAATTCAAAAAGAATCTGGTGAGGGACAAATAAAAAAAAAATTAAAATCCACACTATTTTATGTTCCATCCTCACTTTCGCTGAAACTACAGACGCTGCTGTGATATTTACATTTCTGATGGAGTGCCCAAAGTGTTAGCTTTATTTTCAATAGCAAGATTAATGAAATACCATTTGTAATTGCTGAGGTCATTTTAAACCCTTCAGAAAACCCTGTGTGGCCCACTTAGCCCTTACTGAAGTGAATCACATGAGATCCTCCCAATGATTTTTATTCAAAGTGATTGTGAGAGAGGAGGATTAAAACGTGTGTGTGTGTGTGTGTGTGAACAGAAGAGCTGGCCATTTATCAAAAGGAAGGATGAGAAACTGATTGGTGTTTACACAGGGCGAGGCCGGCATGAGGGTGAGCTTTTCAGAGGAATGCCACAGGGCGGGGTCCCGCTTGCCCAGGTGAACATTCAGGTTTGTGTCCGTGAGAACCAACTTCAAAGTTCAAACGTGTACAGCAGAAAAATGCAGCTTAGCAGTCGGCTCAGTTTTACTCGAGAATGTTTGCAGATCTATTCGTCATTCTGTACTTTTAACACGAGACGATTAAATGATCATTATTGGTGAGTCAACCATAAAGATAATATTACACAAAATTGGCAGAGAACGTTAGTTTCAATCCCTTATTGTGTCTTTGGATGACATCTTAATTTTGTTGTGACGCTTCCATTAATTAAAAGACAAATAGAATCAAAATAAAACAACGTGATAAATCATTACAAATGGTTTGTACACTTTTCACACAAAAATTCAAGCATTTTTCAAGAATTTTCAAGGCACGTTTTGAAACTTTCCCAGCACCACACTTCGGAGTCCAAATGAACAAAAGAAAACAGTTTCTATTCACTGTTGTTAATAAATACTTTGTGATGGTATTTTATATTCTACAGCAGGAATGAGTTAAACTACAAATATAAGAGAAAGTTACAAAAAATCTAAAACAATATTCTCACCAAGCTTTCTGACAGAGAAAAAAAATGTTTTTTTATTATCTTTAAATATCTGAATTTAATTATAAATATCGCTTGGGAAAATTAGGCTTTTAGTCATACGTTGGATTGCACTTTATTACCCAAGAGTGCAGTTTGAATATCAAGTACACTCAAGGACCACCACCACGTCGTGTTAGTTTTCTTTTCTTTACAGAAATCAAGCACTTTCCAAACCTACATCTAATAGAAGTTCAAGCATTTTTCAAGGATTTCAAGCACCTCCATGAACTTTGTAAAAAGAAGGAGGGGGAAAAAAAGGAAGTCAGGTTATAGAAAAGCGGTCACAAAAAACTATAAACATACAAGGGTGTGGTATGGAAAATGGGATTTCTTTCACCTTAAAATTCAACACACAATTATCTACCTCACACAGAGTTTCATCTGACATGATCCATAGGTATCATGTCAAATGATGATTTCTTTGCCAGTTTTCGATAAATGAGGCGCCGTGAAGATGTGTTTATCTGGACAGATACCTGAGTGGTGATGCAGGGAGTGAGACTGGAGGGACTGCTGATGGGGGCTGATGGAGCGTTTGGCCTTCAGGACGTTGTCGTCTCTAACAGACAGTTTCAGGGGGAGCATCTGCTTCATGTCCACCGAGGCTAAGAGGAGGATGTCCAAAACGGAGAGAGAAAAAGAGACAGAGGGTTGGCAGATTGCAGTGTTAGGCGTGTGGAGCAGTGAAGCTTCCCACAGGGAAATTTTTTAATAATTTTGAGGGTAAAACCATTTGGTTTTACCCTCAAAATTAAACAATTAAAATTAAACAATGGTCTAAGGTAAGGAATGTGTAAAAATTAACAAAAATCTAATGATGCATTTTACAAAAGTTGTAGTTCTATAATTATTGTGGGAATCAAAGTAAAAAGGAGGAGGAGGAAATGTCTTAAAGGCTCTAAATATGGCTCAGTACAAGTGCAGACATGCAGAGAGGAATCTCAAAAACATTCTTTCTCACGTAATTTGGAATTATTTCAATAAGACCAACTCAAAACTTGTTTCCTTCTGAGATAAACATCTACATCTCCCACAGGCTGACAGCTGCGGCGGTGTCACTGCTGGCGTCGGCTTCTGAACGCTCAACAACGCTGCTGGGAGGACATGTTACCTGCTGCTCTAATTTCACATGTTGACTCCCACTTACAAACTACCCCGCTCGGGGTAGTCGGCCTGTGCCTTGTTCTGAAAGTAGACGGCTACACTGGATTTAACTTGGGGGGTATCAGAGTAAAGAGGGCTGAATGCAAATGCATGCCGTTCAGATTTATGTAAATATATATTTTGCTGGAGTATCACATGCTGTCCCATTAAACACTGGGGTTTGTTTCCAAATAAACCGCATGATCAATAAAATAAAAAAATTTAAAAAAAAACAAAACATAAAAGAGTCTTTAGTCTGGTGCATCGGTCTCAACTAGCCCTTTTTTAAGGACAATTTTCAGTATTCATTTTTATTTGTCGTTTCAAGTGTCTTGTTGATTTATTGTGATATGTTTGTTAGAAATTTAAGTGTATGCTTTAAGTATATGACTTGAAAATGGTCTGAAAACAACAAAATCTGTTATTGTGACAGGCCTAATAATAAAAAGGAAGAAGTACTGTACTGGTAAATGGAAATCACTGGTTGCTTACCAGAGCTGTCGGTGCGATGCGACGCTTTCCCACTCTTGCTTCCTTTCCCTTTGCCGCTGTTGATCGCTGCCAGTTTGGTGGGGATCTGCTGCTGCACCCCGACCGGTTTGTGCTGCTGGTTGGTGGTGCTGAAGAGGTGCAGCGGCACCTCCGTCTTCAGCGGGAGAGGAAGCGTCGAGGAGCCGGTCTCCCGCCGGAGCAGGACATCGGGCCGCTCGGGGTAGTCGGCCTGCGCCACGGAGAGGCTTCCCCGCACGACGGGCTTCTGGGAGTGGGGCGACTCGGAGACGCAGGTGGAGCCACTGAGACCGGAGGACGAGATGAGATCCCCATTCAGACTGCCGGACATCGGAGCCACCTTAGAGCGAAAGAGGAGACAGTAGGTCAGTCGCTTGAACGGGGTTAAGAATCAGCATCCTTCAGTTCAAAGGATGGGTTACTGATCTCTGCACTGAAATTATTTACATCCGTGGTCTGATTCAGCTGATGAGAAACATCCTGCTGTGTGTGTGTGTATGTGTTTTGTAAACACTCTGAAACACAAGAAAACAGCCTCTTCAGTCTGCAGAAGACACAGGCTATAAATCAGCAGCATGAAGCAGCGCCATCACAGAGATCTGTTTACTTCTCCGTATTTATAAGCCAAGGAGGAAATGAGAAACACATTGAACGCCTGCGTTCTGCAGAGGAGTCAGTTTAACAAAGGCTCTAAAGTAAAAACGCACAAAGACCATGAACGTGTGCCCCCGCAGAAACACACACACACACACACAAGCACATGAAATGAGAAACATAAAACCACTAATGGTTCCTGTGCACATAAAGGCGTGTCTGACAAAACAGACAGGACGAGCAGGGCAACAGAAACAGCTCTCGTGACATTAGAGGACGAAACACACAGCCTGCATTGTTTGCAAAATTACAAGAATGAACTAAAGACGATGTGAAGATCAAGTCAAACAGGAAGATTTCAGCATCCGAGAGCCTCTGCCAGTGTTTGTGTTACTAATCCAGCATCTTAAGTTACAAGAACCATAAAAAGCCTCCAATAGGTGCCATTAGAGAGAATTAAGAGAGCAATCAAACAGCTCATTCCTTGCAAAAACACTGCGGTTTTCCAACGCTGCCCCAGGATGTTTATTTTACTTTAGGCAAAGGCATCAAAAGCTAAAAAAAAATAAACATGTCTTATGATGGTGCCTTGCAAGGTGTGTCAAGGGGAAGGAGGTCTAAGCCAAGTAGCTTGAAGACCCAGCAAACCAGCATCCACCCAAGGGTTTTAAAGCTCTCCGTGGCAAGACTGTTCTCACCAGCATTTGTGTTCTGTAGCACACAGCTGTCAGAATTTACTTGAATGAGTCGTTTTAGGGCGTCTTTTCACTTTAAATCTAAATAAGCTGCTGCTGGCCACGCAACTGACAATGGCTGTAAACAGATGAGCAATTATATACATCTTTGAAAAGGAGAAGTGGAGCCTACCACACAACCAACAGGAATGCAGCAAGTATTATGAAATTATTGTTATAAAAAGGACTTCTGAATGTGATCTGTCTCTACAGAGTTGATTTAGCTTTCTAGGGATGGGGATTCTGCTGGGGGCGCGTCGCCATGATCAGGGAAGCACTAGCTTAGGTTTAAATGGGGAATCTCTCCACCTGCTCTGCTCGGTGCGGCCTCCACCTGGAACATGACTGATGATCTTAAACACTATGCTTCCTCCAGCTGTAACTGGAATAACTCGAGAAAAACAGAAGCCTTTGTGTGGGAAAAGTATCCTTCATCCCTTCCCTGACGCTGCCCTCCTCTTTTCCCTCCATCATTTTCCCTTCTTTCAGCACTCACTCATCATGACACACAGATGTTTGACTGTTCCTAGAACAAGGCAAACAGCTTTAATGACAAACGGATATTCATGTAAGAGGCCACATGGCACAAGGAGTTCTGACTGACAGCTCGTGAACGGGACTGAACGCCTGATGATGGCAGGTTTGGACTGGCTAATTACACAGCGCCTCATCCTGAAGGCTTCATGGATTCTCATAAATCAAGCACATCCATACCGACAATGCACAATATATTTTCTTGTGGAAACTTAACACCTGAAACAATCTTGGATCTACTTCCACACAAGCTCCAGACCTAAATCTTACCCAAACTTGATTGTAAGACGTAGAGTGTGCGCACATAAGAGTTTGAAACTCTGGCTAAAAAGTTTTTTTCCAGAGGAAACGAGAAAAAAAAATAAATCTTTTTTTCCCCCGATCCAACAAAAACAAAATTACCAAACATTTGAACCCTGCAACAGAGCAACAATGACTGAGGTTGACCAATTTTGCAAACAAAAATAAGCAAATAATTAAGTCTGTGGAATGGTAAAAAAAAAAAAAATGGTAAAAACCTCAAATACTTGCAGCTGTAATAGCAGTGACAGAGGGATCTGCATGTAATAACTCTGTTAGGGTTGAAAACAAATGTAAAACACACTTTTTCGACTTTGATTTGTAAAAAAAAAAAAGAATGAACAGCATTTTCCATCTACTTCACAATTATGCACTATTCTTTAACGACTATAATAGTTATTGGAGCTTTATAGCGTTTTATCTGTTGCTGTTTAAATGTCGGCTCATATTACCGTTTTCCTCATAAGCTTCTGCCTTTTGCCAGCTCCCAGATGAAAATCTGTCCCGTCTGGTAAAATAAAGGCTGAATAAAATAAAACATCTGTAAATATTATACTTTGTCTAATCTAAATTCTCAACATAATGAAGTTTGTTTCTGTACCGTAGCACTATATAAAACATACGATATGAATCCTTAGGCATGGCTCTTATTTGTTGAAAGAATGAATTATACTATAAACAAAAAGCACAGCTAACAGATGGGATGTGCACACAGACAGCTTCATAAAGCCGTGTGCTTTCTCCTTGTTCGTCAAGAGAAAGTGACTCACAGGCATCTGTGTTTGTTTACAAGGCGAGGGCGGCCATAAGCACCGACTCAGGGCACTGAATTGTAACTACGTCTGCAGACGGAGGTTACAGATGGAGGGGGATCGTTTACCTTTGTTCAGGGCACAAATGTGAGTCAACATCTTATGAGACGCTTTGGCAGATTTTTGTGCTCCCACAATTTCAGCAGTTTTGTCTAAAGGCATCTTAAATGTGAGCGTTATACTTGACAAATTGTTTGGTCTATTAGTAATCAGCCTAGTTTCTTCCTTTAGTAAGTTTACGTCAATATCATTTCTCTAGACATTGAAAAGTTCAATAAATCTTAATAATGTATAATTTTATTACTTTACATTCACATAATTCCTCTATAATTAGACGTGTAAAGAACCTAATCGAGATCAAACGAGATATAGGCTGAAGGTGAAATTCTTTAGAAAAACTGACGAGCAACAACTAGCAGAGTTATTTCTCAAACATGTTGAGTAACGCGTGTGGAAAAGAAATCCTTCCCCCTTTTTTTTTTTTTTTAAACAAGGTCTAATTATAGCTCTAGGTTTGCTGATGAGACTTAATTTTGGGTGGGGGATATTAAATGTCAAATGATATCAGATTGGCGAAGAGCCTGGAAGAGATCCTGTGGTTCCAGCTAATGAAAAGCTGGTTTGATGTCGTTTGAAGCAGGAGGAGGAAAAGCCACGTCCAAATCTCCCAGAAGCACAGCCAAGAAATGTCCCAGAGCACAGCAAAAAGTACAGAACCACATCCGAGACATGTGCAACAAAACACACGACGGTACGAAAGTAAATGTTACGTGCAGGACGTTGGGGGGGTTACAGTTTAGGTATCAATGCATTTTAGAAAGCACATTTAGAGCTGCTGCTTTAGCAAAAGCCAGATAAAAGCATAAAAATCTGATGAGATATGTAGTTCATCAAATTTCAGAAACGTTTTATTTAAATCAAAGTTGCAACCTTTTCAGATAGTTTCGGAGAAATACAAACAGATGCCACTCTAGTTAAGGTTCGTAGTTCTCACCGATATATTTCTGACAATAAAAATGCCTTCAGATTACACTTGTTGTGAATTAGCACTACGTAAATAAATAGTCCTGAACTAAAAAGATTTGAAAAAAAAAAAACAAACAAACACAACAACCATTATACAACGTGGCAGATAAAAAAACCAAAACAATGCTGAATGCTAAAATGAGCCTAAAACTGCAGTCAACACCAAAAGAAAAGGCTTTTATCAGAATCGCTGATAAAAGAGTTTATACAAATAAAATGTTTAAACTCAGACGGCTCATGGGGACTCATTTGGGCGGAGGGTCCTATGCGTACATAACTTTCAAACTATAAAAGTGTGGTGAATAGGAAAGTGGTCATTTTTTACCTTCATACAAGTCCTGATCGAATTGTTCTATGATGATTTGAGATTCTTTAACATACAATTTTTCAATTTGTGAAACTGATATTTCTAAAAAAGAAAGTGTTATTTTTCTTTCTCATTAACACAGAGAAAGAAAAATAACACTTTCTCTGCTCGTCTTGTCTTTTGGGTTGAATTTATGGCACCAAGCCTTCTTGGTACACAACTTGGTTATGACTGGTCACTGCCAACTCCCTTTGCTGTTTTGTCTTATGTGTAAGAATTATTTTGAGTAAACAGATTGTCAAATGACTCTTGATGACAGAAACACGTGGGAGTCGGGATGTGACGCCGCCTCTGATGTCACTGCTCTCTTTGTTTTGGTCTGGACCGTTTCTGCGTTTGATGAAGAGATAAAACGCAACTAGAAGCTGAGAACAAATGAACTGAGCGATGACTAAGTGATACAAGAATCTGAGCTGAACACTCAAAGTTTTCATTGGGCAAATTTACTATGACTTCTTGACAGAGCTGTGAGCAGCAGGCGTGAAATTACAGTGGATCATCCTGAAAACTGCTCTCCCATGAAACGGACAAACAACGACCCACATTGTTCTGTCAGAAGAGCAGATGCTTAGAAGAAACCATCAGGGGGAAAGAAGGCAGAGGGATGTAAAGAAAGACTACTCTCTACATTTTCCCCATCTAAACCACACCTTAAGGAAAATGAAATCGATGCATTGATATTGATGCCGATGTAAGCAGACACCATTTTGGCCAAAACTGTTCAAGAGGAGTGAAGAGAAGATGGGAAAATGTCCCCACTCTGGACTTCACTGCTGGCTGAAGTGTTGAAAAACACTTCCTGACTCTTCCGTTTAAGAAAAACGGATCAACATTCTCAAAATTTCTGGTGATAACAGAAGAGGGAGATGAATTTCATCAACCCACAAGCGAAGGAAGATTATACTATTTATTTCTGCAACTGACCTGCAGGGGGCAGAAGCGTCCCTGAGACGCTGCCATCCATCTCTGATGTAACTCACTCAGGGGGGGGTTCAGCTCTGCTTCAGACCACCAGCAGAGACCTGAGCCCAGCCCGGTACGCTGCTACAGCACCACACATAAAGAATTGTGACGTCCAAAGCAAAGTGCTAATTTTATGAAACAGAACAACAATTGTTCCTGTAGGTTTTGTTTGCATGTAAATAACAGGAGTTAAAAGGAAAACATATTATAAGCAGAACCATCAACAAGTCATGTCAGAATCGACGAGAGGGAAAGCTAGCGTTAGCCCACCGGCTCAGCAAAGAACCTCAGAAGAAAGAAAATACTGTTTACCAAAAACATTTAGTACTAACAGCACTTTAGAAATAATAATGCTTTGAATGATTTAGGTGAAGTGTTGCAAGTCTGTTATGGCAGCTTTCTAAATCCAAGTGTTGGACTGAAGGCTGTCTTGAAACTCTACAAGACGAATATCAATTGTTGATAAAAAAATAAAAAATAAAAACAAAATAGAAAGTCACCCCGATCATTATCAGCAATACTGCTTCGTTATCAAATTTTTCATTTATATTTTAGCAAATGATCATCTTTGGATCGTTTACTTTCTGAATTAATCTGGTACACTGTTCTTCTAATTACATGTTACATGTCTTTGTAATTAGAGAGAGGTACATTTTAAAGTCTTATTTAACCACATGATTACAAACACGTGGTGAAAAAACTGATAACACAAAAATAAGCAAACATTTTTTTATAACTTCATGGGGCCCCTAAAATGCATCTGCATTCATGAGTCCTGAACATTTTTTAATTACATAGTCAATTATTTGCACTTATCCAGATTTATAAAGTGAAATTTATAAATGTGAAAGTGAATGGAGACAAAAAGATGATGCGCTTAATCCTTCAGAGCCTTTTACCTGATATTCTGTAGGAAATAATAAGTACAATTAGAAACACTAACTTTGCTAATTGATAATGTAGGATGCTAGAAATAGTTGAAAACTTCTGACTTTGTGGCTTTTTTGCTTAAATTATTAAAACCTCTTTCCTTCAGCGACTGCTGTCTCTTATTCTCTCTCTCCCACAGTGAGAAGCTGAATCTGCTCCGAATAATTAATGACCACCTACAGCTGGATTTTGATACATGAAGTAAGCCAACTCCTTCAAAGTAAAGGGCCAACATTTCTTCTAACAACTTTCTTTCTGCATCATTTAAAACAACCCAATTCACTTTGTGCTCTAAGAGTATGAGTGCTTGTTAAATTGTCTATTTTTTCAATATGAGTATTTACATCCTTTCTGACATGTTGATATCGTCTACATGATATTAGAGTTACCATTACAGGCTTCTCACCTCAATTGTTTTCCTCTTCATCTTCTTCTGGGACTCCAGTCGCTCCTTTTCCTTTTCCACAGCTCTAGTGGACTCCCGCAGTCTCTCCAAGTCCTTCTGATACGTCTCTCTCTGCCTGTCCAATTCCTCCTGCTCCTTAGCCAGTTGCTCCTGTATTTGACAAAAACACACATTGTATAACGCTCTTTACAGCCAACCCTCATCCCTCATCATGCGTTAAATCCCATTTAAATCTGCTCAGTATCTTTAAGGCAGCGTGTTGAACTTGTACCTCTAGTTTTCTGCACTCCTCCTCTCTCTGTCGGAGCCGGGCCTCGGTCGCCTCCACTTGCTGCCGGTGCCGCTCCCGTTCTTTCTCCCAGCGCTGCTGCTCCTGCCTGTGCTGAGACTGAAGCTTGTTCAGGTAGGCCAGCTCCTCTCTCTGCAGGGCTAAAGTCCGCTGTTTCTCCTGCTCCAGGAGCCCGTTTCCTTTGTTGCGCCCAGGCAGGGACACCCGCTCTGTTAGCAAGGCCTTCTGCAGCTCAATCTGACTGTCCTGCTGCGATACGATGGCCTGAGGACGACAGGGAGGTGCAAGATTAATAGAAAAGGTGAATATTTCCCTCTAAGAATGCAGAATTTATGTCTACAGGAATCAAATGGTAATTAAAAAGCATCACCAGCAGTGCACAGCTACCAAGGTCATCAAAATGCAGTGTTGACGGTAATGCAACAGATTGTTTGATCCATTTGATTTTTCATTTAATCTCTTAAGCTTATATTAAATAATATTAGAAATGCATAAGAAAATGCAAACACATGAACGATTTTGTCTAAAATGCAATAATACAAAATTGTTTGTTTTTGCTAAATGCAACACAAATTAAAGATTTATTTTTAAAAGTTTACAAAAGTATACAATGTAAAATATTTTCTTCATATTTTGAAGAAATGGCTTTAAGATGCATGTAAAAATTAAGATCCGTCTTTTTATGTTACTACTGGAGAAATGGTTTGTCCCTCCTTTAAGTGTTTGAGGTATTACTCCAACATACATCCGTAGATTTGCTTCAAAATAACCAAACTGAGGCTTAAAGGGATATAATGTCATTATTTCCAAAATTGCTTAAAAAGATACAAAGTTATATGTCTAAATTTAAAGCAGAAAATCTATTCTAGCATTTAGTCAATGGAAATCGTTTTGGTAATCATAATGGAGCTGATACAGGAAAATATTAGCCGGACGCAGCAGGAAAACAAAGGCTGTGTCTTTTTACAGGGTATATAAATATCTGATTTCAACTGAACTATATTTTTTATTAAGAGTTGGACAAATTTGAGAGTCAGAGTGTGTAGAGAGAATATTACCTGCAGGCTATAAAGTCTCTGGGAGAGCATCAACACTTTGTCAAAGAACTAAAATGGATAAAACAAACAAACACACACACACACACACATACAAAAAGAAAGTTATAAAACAAAACTAATTTCACCAAAATGCTCTCACAATTTTCTGGTTTTATAAATTATTTTATCATATGAAGACATTGTTCAAATAAGAAATAAGAAAAATAAAACTCCAGCAGTTCAGATTTACAAAAAGGTCACCTCAGCTTCGGGGAAAGAGTCGGACCAGATCCGGTTCCATCTCGGAGGAGAGGAGCAGCTCTGATCCACCTGACACACGAAGTGAAGCACAAAGAGATCACAAGTCAGTGATGGTAGAAAAGGACATTAAAAAAAAAAAAAAAAGGCCAGATGCTGTGAAAAGCATTTTTTTATTTTCTAAAAAACCAAAAAGACTCATTGCAAAAAAGACTCATTGCAAAAAAATCTAATAAGGCGTTCTTCATGTTATGATTTAAACCGTTTAATTTGGTCGTAATAATGGGTTCACGAGTTCCAGCCATAACCATCTGTTGTGTCGGCGCTTGAATGCAGTGGAATTAAATATGAAAGCAGAAGTAGTGTTTACATTCTGTGGTTTAAATCATTCATTCAGGTTCATACGAGTTAGACGGGCAATGACCTGAACTCCTGCTGAATTATGGAAGGAGGAACAACACCTACGATTCTTTATTTATGATAAAAATCTTAGATTTGAGCTTGAAGTTGTGTAAGAGAGATGATCCCCTTCAGCGCTCCTAATAATGATTGTAGCAGTGTTGATGTTCAGGTTAAATCGTAACTAAAAAGGCAACACTATTTAGTGGAGTGGAGTTCAGATCAAATATTTGTCTGGATTATTTCCATCTCTGTTGGTTTGGCTTTTGTTCCACAAACAGAGCTCCAGTCACCAACACGTGGCTATATTTAGGCTGGCTGATAGTTCTCAAGGACCAGGATTAACCGAATGTTCCCAGGATGATGTTGATCAAGATTTTATCTATTCATAAAAAAACACAGAGAGACTTGCAATATACAATATTCCAGAAAATACAAGAAAAAGAAAACTTTCCAGATGATTTGGTTTGCATTTCTTATTGGAAATAAGACTGATGCATCTCAAAACACCTTGTGTGTGTGAACTTGTTTCGCCCCTACCGTCTGTTCCAGGGTGTGGCTTCCACAGAGGCCTTTGAGCTGAGGGTCGGAGCTGGCTCTTTGGCTCCTGTCTCTGTTCCCAGAGAAGCTGCCGTCTGGCACAGACACAAGCACATGACGATACGCGGCGATGGAAACATTTATCTGATAGCTACACAGATTCTGCGTGTGTATATACATTGCAAGTGATTTCTTTTAGAAATAAAATTTGATTAGAGTGAAGGCAGTCTTGGACTCACTCTTAGAGAGGATGACGGGACTGCTGTCATAGCCTCCGAATGTCCCCGCTCTCCTGGGCAGAACCCCAGAACCGCTCCCGTCCTCCGCCCGTGTTTCCTGAGCCTCTTCCCTCACGCCAGCCTGCAACAAGTTCTGCAGGTTCTCCACTAAAGTTTAACAGTAAATAAGAAAATAAAGAACCTGAGATATGCGATGACATAAACGTAAAAGCAAGTGTGAACAAAATAGTGCTTCACAAGAGAAAGTTTTTCTGATCGTTATCCACCATGTGCAGCATCATCCTACCTTCAGTGATGGCTCCTTTGAGCAGCACCTCCCCCTGCTGGTGGTCCGAGGCGTCGCCCCGGAGCAGCAGCCTTGAGCGAGAAGCCGTGTCCTCCAGACCGGCCACGGACTCCGCCATCTCTGCAAACAGCTGCAGTTTTTCGGTGAGAGCCTGAGCGATCACCGCGTCCTTCTGGCTCAGGCGCTCTAAAGGCCAAAACGTGACACAGAATTAGAGTCATCAGGCAAAAAAAATGCTCTGCAACTTATTCAAAAGAGAAAAATATGAGCATTTGTAGAGCTGCTTGTGAAAATATTAATGTTGGAGGTGAATTCAGATAATTCTATCCACTTTCACATGAGAATATTTAGATTTTAAATGTTTTGTCTAATATTTCCATTTTTACTGGAACTTATTCCCACTGCATGACCTTCAAAAAATATTTTTTTTTTTATTGAAAAGCGGCATCAAAATGTAAAGTCTTTTCAGCAAAATGCATGCAAGTATAAACTGCTAAGATTCTCCATCAATAAACTAAACCGTCAATTGTTTCAATGTGGCACATCAGCACCTCCTAGTGGACATAAATGTAATTTGTGATCAGAAGTTACCTTGAAATTCTCGAAGCCTTGCAGCTTGAGCCTCCTCTTCCTCACTGAACAGCCTCTCCTCTGAGTCAGGGCAGCTAACCGAGCAAGGGACACAAAGACTGCTCAATAAAATTTCAGATAATTTTTTTTTTTACCACAACTGTGTTTGTAAGTCGCCTGTATAACTCCAGTTACCTCTCGACTGCTTGCCGTATGTATGTTATCCAAGAGTTTCGCTCCTCTTTGGAGGCGGCGTGGATCTCGTACATCTCTGGCTCGTTTGAGGAGGCGCAGATGAGAAACATGGCCTTCTCCTCATGGGCCACCTCCCTGACTATCAGCTTTTGGAGAGAAATCACTGAAGGCTTGTTATCCTGCAAGGATTTAAGACAAAGAGGGGGAAAAAAAGGCATATGAAGAAAACAGAAAAATAAATTTTACAAGCAAAATTTTGACCAGGTATTAACAGGTCAAAATCCACAAAAAATTGGTTTGAAATTATTAAAAGTCTATGAGAGCATCACGTTTATACTCATATTGGGTTTGTCAAAATTTTCTCTGGAACTATAACTGAGAAATGATAAAAAAAAAAAATCACTCACTACTGTAGCAAAGACATATCTCTGATCCTTCTCTTGAAGTAAAAGCAGCACATCTGACAGCAGTACAGCCAGGATATCTGAAAGTAAAGAAAGCAAGAACATCATCATGAGCAAGTAATGCATTGCTCATTTTCCATCTGCAATGATCATTTCGTAGAGGTGAATGTTACCTTTGAGTCTGCCAGAGGCAGCTTTCCAGCTGACGGTTCCCTCATGCAGCAGCCGCCTCCTGCCCTGACCCAGGTCCTCCCTACGAAACACCCGGCCATCCTTGATCTTTCCCTGCGTCTTCGGCTCCATCTTGCTGTGAATATCTCGGAGCCGAGACTCCTTCTCATGCAGGTTAACCAGGGTGTCCACCTCTTTGATGGTGTCTTTGATCAGACTCTGAGCCCGAGTCAGATCTTGGTGCTCCTCTGTGTTCGCTAGAGACAGAAAGACAGAGAATTTTACATGTAAACAACCACTATTGTTTAGTTAAGGTTCACTAGGATGGTAATTAGTATTCGTGTTGCAGCTGAACCTTCAGTGTTGTGAAGGATGCGCTCCACCAGGACCGGGTACTTGGTAATCCTCTGCGTTACCAGCAAAATACACTCCGTCACTCCTTGCCTCCGTACAATGGATAAGTTGCTGATTTTCTGTAAAAACAAACAAAACACAGAAACATTAACCTTTCACCATCCTACACAAGTAATCAAAAGTGAAATGAATCTAAAAGCAAATGCTACGATATCATAACTTACCCTTATGAGGTTCTGAAACCTTCTGTTGTTTTGCAGCATCTCTTTGTACAAGCCGACCGCTTCAGTGTGATGGCTGCAGAAATCTCCGTAGCAGTTCTTCATCCTCTCTCCTATTTCACCTGAGAACTGGAGAACAAACAGACTCATTGTCAGCAGCAGCAGCGCAATAATGCACACCTAAACAAAACTAGGGCTGCAGCTAACTATTATGTTAATAATCGATTATTCTAACAATTAGATTAAAAAAAATGGCACATTCTTTAGATTTTTCATTTCAACCAATTGAGCTTATATTATACAAAAATGTTGAAAAATGCAAATAAATTTAATCCCTTTTTCTAAATAATAAAACATTTTACTGCCTAAAATGTAATTGCATAGCAATGATGCATCTGCTGCTACAAGAATACGAAATAAATACTGAAATAATCTTTTTCTGCTTCAGTAGTGCAGTAGGGTGGATATGCTCGTTATTTTTTAAATTAACCATTTAATAAATAGGTAGAAAGAGGTGCTTAACATAATTGTATTAATTCTGTTATTAAGCTAAAACTGTCATAACTAAAACGATGATACTTGAGAAAGACTATATATTTAAAGACAAACAAGGTTTTTCATCTAAAATGCTATATTATATATATATGCATATTGTTTTTTCAGTAAATTGCCTTTTTCTGAGTCTGTAAACTTCAGTTAAGGATTATTTTACTACTAAATCAGTTGATTATTTCAATAAAAATAAAAAAATCAAGATTAATTGTTTCAGCTCCGAGGAAAGCCGATAAAACTGTGTCACATGCTGAACCTGCCTCACTCATGAGATTAAACATATTTGAGGAAATCTGCTGCAGTGAAGGGAGAATGCTACAGTAAGTACAGGATGACTGGAGTGGAGAAACGTTTTCACAGACCGCCGAGTGTCTCTGTGCATCCGGTCCATACCTGAGCGATCAAGATGTCTGCCACTCTATTGATGGTGTAGTTCCTGTCGCTGGGCGAGACGAGGTTTTCTCGCCGTCGCTCTCTGAGACACGACAGGAAATGTGTGTGAAGGTCGAGGAGGTTTTCCAGGCGAGGGAACAGGCAGTCCAGTCTGCCCGAGTCCATCTGCAGGTTCTCCTTCAGCTCTCGGATGTACACATGCAGCATTATCTTGAGCGTTCTCACATGGTGCATCTCCGTCTGCATTAGCTCTACAGAACAACGTCACATTGGTTCTGTTTAGTATGATGCATGATCTGCGAAGCATTGTGTTTCCATACAGGTTAATTTTTCTGAAGTTGGTGCCAATATAAACCAATACTTCTTGAAGAAAGTCGGGTTTTAGGAAGGAATACATGGGGAAATAATCTGTTGTGTTTTTGATGAGGGAATAACATTATAGCATGAAATGAAGCTCAGAAAGGTTTGATTTTGCATAATAACCTCCCTTTAACATAAGATCAGTTCATTTCAATACAATGGAACCCATTAACAAAATTGTGATTTTAGGTTTATAATAAAACAATGAACAAGACAAATTCATTTATAATTACTTCAGACTCTCAGGAGCAGTTTAATTAAGTCAAATTTAATCAATCATTACGTTATTACCTGAAGACAATCGCGGATTATAGGAGTCAGATTTTGACAAGGGGGGGGAAAAGACAAACAAATATCTGGTTTTTGTTAACTCAGTGTGCTGCTTTTATAAGAAAAGCTCCTCTCAGTCGGCCATGTATAAGACTCATGCTTTTACTAATGGCCAAGCATTTACCAGTATTAAAGTTCGAAGCGAGCCCACACCTACCATAAATAACATCCTGCCTCTTCGCCACATCTTTTGAATGTTTCTTCAGATAATGCTGATCGACTGCGAGGCTCCAGGAGTCGGCCTCCAAGTCCTGAGCATCAGACTCCAGGTCGGCCCGCACTGCTGCATAGTGAGCTTCTGAAGAGAAAGGGCCGAAATGATGCAACGTGTTATGGATTGTGTTCTTCAACAAGGTAAAGCAAAGGATAAATGGAAGAATTTATTTGTATTATTTTAAATGACTAATGTGACCCAGTTACTCCTCACAGAATGTGGATTTTTACAGTCTTTCCAACATTATTGCATGAGCAACATAGGAACCAGACGGTGAATCTGCCTTACAAACTGATAAATCTTCAGGAACGCACTCAATTTGGGGGGAAAAAGGCGGCTGATGAGCATCCAGCTCTTCAGTGTTAAGAGTAAATCCAATAAAACTGAACGCTGGAACAAACATGGAGCTCCAGTCTCCAGTTAGTCTGATGTCTCCCACACAGTTCAGTTTAATGAGGCTAAAGTCATGACTCAGCCAAACATCCTCCACACGCTCTCTTCATGAAAACTCCCTGAAGACAAACAGTTGCAAAGATTTCACAGTCTGGAAAGGGCAGTCTGGTCAGTAAAAGCCGCAACGCAGCCCTGATGATTTGGTTCAAAGTAAATGAAGCTAAAGTGAGGAGCGGATGAATTTAAACTTCAGCTCCGCTTTGGAAACGTCTGCTCACCTTCTACGATGATGGGCTCGGCGATGGAAGGTGCGAGAGAAACGGCGTCGTCGTTGCAGCGTTTAGAGCGCAGAGAGTCTATCTCATCCATGTCCCCGGGGAGGGATCTGAGAGAAAACAGCCAAATTTACAGCTTCGATGCAACAAAATGTCTCCTGCCATTTATGTAATGTTTCCCAAGGTTAGAAGTTTATAAATCAATATCAAGTCAATCTACAAGAGCATGAAACAGCATATATGATTATTTTAAGAAGGAGTAAATAATCTATTCGACCAAAAATCAGCAACAGAACAATCCAAAAGCATAAACCTTATGTTTCATTTTTAAAACAATACAATGTACCAGGGCGGAAATGATTAACCGGATTAACTGATTGTTAAAATAATTATCAATTTTAGTAATCAATTAATTGTTAGCTCAAGAATAGACCCAAAAAGAACAACATCTTCTGAAAGAACAACACAGGGCAGTAATTAAACCCAAAAAATTCCCAATTATGAAACTTTTAGACCAAAAGATAAACAACAGATCAGTCCTACACTGCATTGATGTTAAGCCCGAGACTCAGCTTTTCACATGCTGATATTGGAAGTATTTTATTAAGCTGCAGATGCATCCTTTGCTATAAATGATCAAGAATACGCTAAAGGAATGCTACATTAACAACATGATTATTTTCTTAGTGAAAAGAGTAATTAAATTATTTCTTTATTTGTATGTTAATGAATTTCTTAAGGCTTAAGAGGTTAAACAAAAAATCTGAAGAATGTGCCTTTTTTATGGCATTAACCGTCAGGAATATTTAATTACTGAGATAATTATTAGCTGCAGTTGTCATATCATAGGAGGGTTTCTCTGCAACGCATCACCACAGGTTTTTATTCTTGGAGTATTATCAAACAAACCTTTTTAGGAGATCTTTGTGATTTCAGCAAATTATATCATATTAGCAGATGTTTCTAAATGTTCAGTGTTGATATTCATTTAAAAAGTCATTAAAACCATCCAAAAAATCTGTATGTGTGTGGGAAGCCAAAGCAGAGATATTTCTGACTTAATGCAACACACATTGCATTAAGACAGATGCTTGTATGGACTTAAGATTTTTTTTCTATTTTAGAAAGTAGCTTGCATCTAAATATCATGAAGGCACTGGAATCACAAGAATTTTAAAATCTTCTCCATTTAGATGAAGCAGATCTTCAAAACATTTGAAATTGCAATAATTTTACAGAAAATTTAGTTTGCAATTCCTGCATCTCTACTGAATGAAGAATCTTTCACACACAAACTTTTCATTTCATGAAAAAAAATCTTTACATCACCTAGAGAAATTATTGTTGTCATGGTACCCACCCGGAGCTGCTGTGGTGACGGAGGCTGGGGCCGACGCTGCAGGCGGGGGCTGCGGCGAAGCTGCTGCTGAGGCTGAGTGAAGGCTGAGTGCTGGCTCCAAACGAGCTAACGGTCATGCCTGGGACGCCGGGAAACCCTCGGTGGCCATCCGCAGCCTGAGCCGAATCTCTGCCTGCCTGATCTTTCTCCCTGTCCCGGTCTTTCAGCGCTGGGAAAGAGAGACGAGACACAGGTGATCGGAGAAAGTGAGACTGGATGGAGGAGGGACATGGGGACAAACGAGGAGAGGACAGTGAGAAAGGAGAAGATGACCAGCGAAGTGTCAAAGACGGCGACTTGTTCGAATCCTTCCCGAGTTGGCCCCAGTATTTTTTCAGCCAAGATCGAGGCAGGGATCGGTAGAACCGGCAGGTGATCATGTCGCGGTGCATCAGAACCCGCACGCCTACACGTCCAGAAAGACCCCACGACGAGGCGGAGAAAGACGGGTAAGACGCCCTGGCGGTTTTGGAGGCACCTTTAGAGGCCCTCACTGTTTTTCCTGCTTCTTTGGCAACCGTAAGATCCATTACAAACGACTCTTAAATTTCAATTCCAGGTTGACGTCTTAGTAAGGGACATAAACAAAGATAATCAGGAGTTTGGATCAAAAAGCCGGTCTTATATAAACCAGCCCAGACTCCCCAGTGTCCCGGTTCCTGCAGTAACTTCTGGAAAGATGTGCGTCCTTTTTACGTTTCTAGGAAGTTCTGTTTCTGCGGTTCTCATCAATTCTCTGCGCATCGTGTTCCCGACCCCCTGCACAAGCCAGTGATTGGCCCGAGCGGGACATGTGGAGAAATCAGGTGTGGCTGACAGGACTCCAGCTGTTCAGAGGGGAATAACAACTGCTACAGGAGATTAACTAAAGCTTGTCGCTGCTGCAGCCCCTCATGTCTCCTGCGGGTTCAATCACATGCATTCACACTTGCTGACGGTGCAATAAGCAGCAGCGGCTGAGATCTCTGAGAACAGATGAGCTGATGTAACGGTTAATGTTTTGCTTTTTTTTTAATTGCCAAGCAGTGCAGGATGGATTAACGGGTGATCATAAATTAAAAATGACAAACAGAAGCATCAGTTTTTATTGCCAATTAGCGTTCTCCTGTGTTTATAGCTAAATATGTCTAAATAAAGATGAAAAGAGAAACAGCTGCACCACACGACTCTTTTTAATAGCTAATCATCACTTTTATCTCCCAGCCGTGGGAGACCGAGCTGCCCACTCCACACTCAGTGGGTCCGCAGAAACACACACCACAAAGCTGGATCCTTAATTGGCCGTTCTTAGAACTTAACCCTCCCATCATTCATCAAAGCTTCTGTCACAGTTAAAGACATACTGTGATCCACGACAATCTGAGCGCCTCACCAGTAATTAAATATTCTGCTTACCAAGACTAGGAGATGCTGACCCGCTGCCCCTCGAGTGGAGATCTCTCTGTGTGAAGAAAATTAGGACAGTCACATGATTTGATACCAGAATCTAATCTTTGTAAGGATGTAGCAATATGAAAATTTGGGCTGGTATCAATATTCTGTATTTATTAAATATATTTCCCTACACTGTCACCATAACAGATTTTTGCTGGACGATGAAGTTGTTGCAGAAATTATCGCGATAAATGATAATATTGATGTTTGGAGAACATTTTCAAGTAATATACTGATAATGACATAATAACGCAAGTTCGACTAATAAACTTTGATTTTTCACAAAACACTCCACACTGCAACTGGAAGACACTTTAAATATTCAAAATAAAAAAACATCACAAACAATAAATAAAGAAATCAGAGGGTTTTTGTTGAGCAAATTCAAATCACAGTTTTTCAGCTCTGCACCAGATGATTTTTATTTCCTCTTTAAGAATGCTAAACTTCGAAATACACATTTGTAACATTTCCATAAACTGGCACCACTGATTGTACAGTAGAACAAAACAATGTATGCAAAGTTTCAGAGATGTACTACTGCTGCAGATAAAAAAAAATACGGTAAAATCTTCTGGGTTACAGGTGAGATGCGTCTCTGTAATGCTTTCTAACTAAAAAAAAGAGTTAGGGTCACCATGATGCTAAGATTTTAAACTCGATACCACAACTATGAAAAACACTCAATACTCAACAGTAAACAGTAGATAAGTGTTAATAATCCTTTGTGGAGGCATGCACACTGGAAATGGACAATGGATTTCATTAAGATGTAAGCATGGACCCGCCCCATTCAAAGGTTTGTTTTTATAATCTACAGAGGCGTGGTAAGATTTGCCCGCTTCCTGATTTCCTTTTGTTGTTTGTTTGCTTGTTTGCATGGTTGTCACACTTCAGTGTTTCGGAACATCAAACCAATTTAAATATTAAAACAAATTTCAGTTTTTAAATGAAGATGTTATTATTATATAAATAAATCCAAACCTACATGGCTGTAGGTGTCTAAACCTAGTAACTGGTTGGGCCGCAGTAAGCAGCAATTCAACTGCAATCAAATGCGATAACCTGCAAAGAGTCTAAGGTTCAAATCAAGGATATCAACTAAGCAACAGCAAATAAAAAAATTATACCGTTTGCTTGACAATGCCATCAACATAAAATGGCAAAAAAAAAAAAAAAAAACTCATCTTTGAAGAATCTACACATTTCAAAACCCCAAAGTGTTTGTGCACATGTGGATATTAAGATACTAATGTGGCTAAAACCTTGGCCTGGATGCTCTTATCTGCTCTGAAGTGTAATGTTTACCTTATTCTTGCTGCTGGTGCACTCACCCAGCAGAGACTTGCAGCTCTTGTGAACGTTCACAGCACAATCTGAAAAACAGGACAAGAACTTGGAGTCAGCGTCTCATCAGTACAGCTGAGCAACGTGTGTACAGTACTAAAAAAGGGGAAGTGTCAAGGGTGATAGCATGAATGCAGACAGAAAACGTGACACTACAAGCCAGGTTTTCCTAAAATGAATGCTCCAAAATACAGGAGGCGGCTAAAAGAATCAATAAATCCCTCTACAGTAAGTGGAGGAGGGTTTCTGCAGCTACAAAGCAACAGTTTGCCGCTTCATCATCGGTGTCATGCGAGAGAGCAGATCAGAAACACCCCGCTTTCCTGGAAACGGGTTTCTCTTTTCTGTTCTTGTATGGAGAGCAAACCGGGCCCTGTCAGGTTTAGCCGAAACAAGTGACTGCATGTGATTAGCAGAGACACAAATCTGAGATGTTGCTGAGCAAACGCAGAGGACAGTTAGTGTGTTGCTTTGTTCCTAATCAGAGACGAAACAGCTTGGAAACAAAACGTTTTCAGTGGCGGGGCCTGGACATTTAAGGCCAGCGAGATGAGGTAAACAAAACAAGCCGAGGCTGAGGGATGAGGCCTGCCAAACAAAATAGGCTATCGACATGCAAAGCAAGGATCCAGTCCGACCAGTTAAAACCTGGCAAATGCTGGCCAAAGACTCAGGTCCCAGAAACAGACAAAGCTGCTCCACTGGGAAACCAGTTTAAAACTAAAAGGCCTGTCAGTCAAACTGAATCAGAGAACAAAACAGGTCAAATTGCTGTTATTACTCAATAAAGTTATAACATGTTTTAGACAATGGCTTACAAATGATTTTCAGTTTCCAAATTAACAGCTATGATATTAAATAGTGATCCATTTCTACAATCATTAAAGAAGAACGCCAAGTCAAAACAGTTCAAAGGTGGAAAAAAGTATTTATATTACATCAGTTCTCAACTCTGCTTCAGACATTTTCCACTTCACACACGACACGATAGAGATGAGACAAAGCTTGAATCGTAGCTTCCTGACTAAGGGAGCAGAAGTTACAGCAGCAACTGCAGGAAAACCAGCTGTGACCGTTTCCACAGCCGGGTTCCCGTCTGTGTGCTAGAACGAAAAAAAAAAAAAAAAAAAAACAACCAAAAAGACTTTTCAGTAGAAATATGAAGCAACCAACGATCATTTCTGTCTGCAAAGAAATTTTGGACAGCGGTCAGATTTTTACGGTCAGTGGACCGACTAGAACTAAACGCTACTAGGAGCAAGTCGGGGCAATCCCAAGACTCTTCGATGTGGAACTTCTTACTGTGGGAAGAAGCTTCTCAAAGTGTCAATGAAGTGTATAAACATGAAATTATAGGAAGCACAAAAGCTGTAGGAAGCTATTTAAAGGGAAACTGTGTTTAAACGTTGGTTTGTTTAAACAGGGTGCTAGATAATTACTGGTTTTAACATTTTTGTGGATATTTTGTATCTTTTGTTGTTTCCGAAAATAAGATGCTATCAACTTTAAATACGCTAATTGCCGATGCAGGACGCTTCAAAAAGTTTAAAATCTCAACTAGGTGGTGGTGGGAGATATGGACTTAAAGTTTTACCACAACATTTCGTAGTACTATTGTAATGAGAAAAGTGTCAATAAGAAGCAGTTATTTTTTTACTACACCCACTTGTAATATGATTCTTTAGGACACCGAAAGAAGCATATTTTCTTTTGATGAAAATACAATTTGTGATTTATGTCACTAAAATGCATACACTAACTGCATTTAATCATACTTTCAAATTCATTGAGCAGTGGAGAAAAAAAATAATAATCACGTCAATATGGACATTTTTAGTGTTTTTAAACATCACTAATTGGAATTTGTCATGACGACAATAAATCAATATTGTACCATGATAAGAAATTGATCACAATAAATGACAAACAATATGATACAAGCCCACGCCAACAGCTAGGCAATCATTACTGGGCCTTTGACAATATATTTAATTGTCCCTGTATTATTGTTTTGAGACTATTTCAATTAATGTATCAATAATTGAATAATGCAAGTTTATGCTCTCAGAAATCTTAATACTGGAACTGAAAGACATTTTAAATATTCCAAGATAATACAAAACAAAAAACAAGAAATAAAAACACACACACAACTGAAACTATAAGTAAAATGGATTATGACGTGTCTAAACAAAAAGCATTAATAATCAAAAATGGGAATTAGAGCTCGTTTTAATTGATCATGCAAGTGAGTGATTAATTGCGACAGGCCTAATCATTACTCTTTGTATTGGATTAGTAAAATTCTGTTTTAGAGCGACAGCTTTCTCACACAGACGTCGCCTCGGCTAAGACTACGTAACAAATTATAAATCATGAGAAAAAGTCAAGAAAGAAAATGCATTTTAATGCTGTTCTGAGGAATTAGAAGTGGCCAAAATCAACACTGGCAAGTCAGAAACTGACCCTTGAACTCCAATAATCAGTTCATCACGTTGAGGAATGTAGCTAAATACTCAAAGCATTGATCAAAGCACAATGACAATGCTAATATAAATGAATTAACTTCACAACCGTTGACAAAAATCCTTTGCTCTTCAATTATCAGTATGAAGTTGAACCTGCCACTAATAACTTAAACTTTACTTCATCACTTTTAGACAAAAACTGAAACACAAAGCTTTAGAGATTAGCAGAATAAAACAACTCAAAAAGACTCCCTAAAAAAACTCAGTAGAAACATACACGTCATAAAGATCCTAGATGTGTTAACTCATCTGTAAGCCAATGTAATAATTATTTAAATCATAACTTGCTAAAAAAAATAAATAAAAAAAAAAACATACCAGACCAGCTAAATGAGCAAAGCAATGTACACAGCTGTCACAGCAACTATTTTGTAACTTTAGAAAGAAAAAAAAATCATCAAGTTTCAGATTTTGTTTCAGTTAACATATCATGCTCAAAATGGGGTAGGAAGAAGTGAGAACTTATAAACTCCTACCCCTAAACACTTGAAACTTTAGAGTCCTACTGTCATTAAAAAAATTAAAAGTCACAAAATAAGGCAACAAAAATCAAGAAAAGTCTCTCCAACAGGCTGAATATATCAGACAAGAGACATGATGACATGTGACACAACCAAACTATTCTTAAATTAAAGATAACTAAGTTTTACTGAGCAGCAATGGTATGAAAGGAGAAGAGGGTGTAGCAGGTAGAAGGACAAAAAGCCACAGAATTGCTTCAACAAACGTCACTTCTCGTTGTTGAGGCAGTGGTGGTTCTCCTCAAACTGAGTTCAGATGCATTACGATGGAGCTAAAATGATAAGCAAACAGCAGCAGGAACACTGTGCTTCCGGTCCACTGATACCACAGAACATGTCGTCGTCGTCATCATGATGTTTGGAAAAACCCAAACAAATGCCTCACCACAGACTGCATGGAAGCTGTCTTGGCTCGGTGTGAAGACCAGATGATTTATCCTCAGCTGGACAAAGTTGGTGACAATCAACCAGCTGCTGTGCTGCTAATGAGCAACATGATGAGGTCTAGTCACTTGTTCATGTGAGCAGCTGATCCACATGACAACCATCAAAACCACCCCCACTCAACATCTAATGAACACCCAATCAAACGAGAAGTAGAGCTCTGTGGTCGACAGTGAGCACTTAAGTGAGTCACTCAGTGGACCGGAGGTGCAAATGGGGCCCAGATCAACAACAGAAAAGTTACTGCTCTGGGTTTTCTTAGGGATGAAGCTGGGATTTGATAAAACACAGCTAGCTAAACTGTAGGTTCAATCACATTGGAGGTCACACAGTGTTACATAAAGTTAAACCAAAAAAACATGTTGGTTCTCAAGTCTATTAGCAATTGAGTGTCATCAGAAAATGCACTAAAAATGCATTTGTGTTAGATCTGCACTGGTCACGTTTTACTTGACCAACACCAATATTTCTATTTTCTTTAAGGTCTAACCAGCAAATGTTCATCCAGTTATGATTTTGTTTTTGGTCTACGTTTTGTTTTGCCTGTTTGAAGGTCAGTAGCATTTCATTTAAAAGAAAATGTGCTTTAAATTTTTTGACACGGGTAGTAGTTTTAATGAAAAGCTTTCCTAATTTATGCATCAAAACATGTCTCTTACATTTATCTGGTTTTTAATCAACTCAAATCAATATATATGTTGTTAAATGAGGCATTTAAAGGCTGAAAATGATCAGTTTTGATGCATTTAATAGATATGAGAAACAGTATTTATCAGTATTTGACCTGCAAATTGACTCCCATCTGTGTGACCAACGCATCTCAAAATACTTTGTTCAAAAATCAGAAGAAAAAAAATCCAAGTACACCCTAAACCAGACTATGCAGTGTGCAACAGCAATGCATGATTCAGGTGGCAAACTTCCAACAATCCTACAAAAAAAAACAAACATTCCACTGTGCACTACGTTGAAATGACAATAAATCTCACTTGACTCGTCTTCTTCTTTGTCTTTTATTAAAGTATATCCATACCTATTGCTCAAGTACTTTCTAACGGACATTGCTTCAACTGCACACTCAAGCTTCACAGTTCGGTTCAAATATTTCTAACACAATCCATTCACCATGTGAATGTAACAGAGTAGCCAAACAAAAAGTGATGCCACCGGCTGCTTGTGATTTTAGGCATGTGTGCCTTTGAGAGCGAAAGAAGGTATTTTCCTCCCTGAAAACCCAACCAATGACGTAACCTGGGGAAACAGGAACAACTTAAAATAAATTAACTATTAGAGCAAAACTAAACTTTGCTAGTGGAAATATATCTCACTAAATAAAGATGGCTGGCTGACCTGCGAACTACATACTTTAACCACAGGTTACCTCTAAGCCCGAAAGGGAAGTGGTGCATTCAAGCTAAACGTGGGCTGGCTGAAGGACGGAGTTGAAAATATGACTGCATACTTTACTGAAAACACGGTAGACATTTTAGAAGAGCATACTGTAAGAAGAAGTTGCCTTAAATATTAGTTTCAGTC